AGGAATGAAGCTGTGAGCCCTCAGTGGCCAACACTCTTCAGCTGTTGAATGAACGAGTGTATCAACCCTGAAATGGGATCTGTGTAGCACTACTAGGGAACGTTTATAATTGATTAGTCTTCTGAGGGAACTTGAGGGTAGGTAGAAGTAAACCATCACACATTTCCTGATTGGAGAATGGTCTCTCCCATGGTTGCCCCATTTAAGTTTAATTCTGAATTAAAATCAGGCTTTTGAAGTGGTATCTGCACTCCTATGTTCATTGTAGCATTATTCACAATAGGTAAGATGTGGAAACAACCCAAATGTCCATCAGCAGATGACTTACTACCTTGTGCTTATTATCATACTTCTTCTTGGTTAAGAAATCATGGAACAGATGTAATAAAAACCATAGTTGTAAGATATAATTAATAAAGACCAAAGAAGTAAATAAAAATTGATGAGATACAATTCAAATAGACATTGTAACAAAAATACACCCACTGTCTCAATTTTGATTGTTGCTTTTTACTCAAACATGAAATAAATAAATAAAAGAGACAAAGCAATGAAAACTAAAATATGAGAGACAGATAAATTTGGAAATAAAATTAAATGCTCCTTTAAATTTTGTTTGTATTTTTTGGTTAGCTTTCTATGAATAGCAATGGAAGCCTTAGGGAAGGATGCATGTAGGGAGTTGGAAGTAATAGATTCTCATGACAGAAAGCCAAAGATCATAAGTAATTGACATGTCTTTGTCTAAATCCCAACCACAAGAGACTTATTAAACTTATCCAATTCTAAGGAGAATCATTTTGCTGTTTGGAAAATGCTGTTGTGTTTTCTACAATAAAGAGCCACTTTTGTGAAGAAGCAACTGACCTCTTGTGCTGTCTTCATTAGGTAGCATTATTGTGGCTGGTTCATGGCACAAAATGAAATTCTCCTCTTGGAAAATATGACAGGGTCCTAATGAAAAGTAGCTCAAGCAAAAAGAGCCATGTAATTGAAACAGGATTGTGTATCAACACTTACTTGCATGTACACTTGTATGCACATGCAAACACACCTACACACATATCCCTGACACTTGCCATTATGCCTAGGTGGCATGTCCAAATAAACTTACATCTACTGAATTGTAGATGTAAACTTCCTTATTATGTAGGCTATGATGTTCTACAGGTGGGAGAATCAAAGATGTTGAAAGCTCTTGCTTCCATATAGAATATACCTTTTCTCTGTGTCATTGTTCTGTTATTTTTGGGTCCTCGCTCTTTTGGGAGTGCTTCTTCTTCCTCTTGGAACTCTTCCACTGTGGAACTGGGTGTGGTGAGTTTAAGGCCATGCTCTGTGAGCATGCGCTATGGCTATTAATGCCACAGCAGGGGCCAGGTTGAATCCCAGGGGAAAAGTGGTCCATCTGTCCCCATTGGCATAGTAGCAGTTTAGCTACCTTGTCTCATGCTGGGGCTACTTAAGTAGCACCTCTTTCTCCTTCTGCATCTGATTGCCCACATTTCCTATTAATATTCCACATTATTGTTTAGGTTTATGTCCTGGCTTGTTCTCTGAATTATCCTATGGGTAACAGAGACCCATGGGTGTTTTAGAGTTTAAACTTTTAAGTACAGCAGTTTGGAAGATTAGTTCTCTCATAGACTTGAAGACTGAACCTTCTAATAGATGTGAAGTCTAGCAAATCGAACTTCAACCGCCCTCCTTCATTATTAGGAATGTGCTGGGTCAGGCTGAGGAAGGCACGAAGCACTCCCCACCTCCAGAAAGACAATGAAGGCCTCTCACCATTCACGTCACTAATAACTATGTCACTGCAGAGGATTTGTGGAACTGGGAACATGTAGCATGTCTCCTGATCTTTCACATTTCCATGTAACTCTATATTGTTTGCCATTAAAAAAATAAAATCAAATTTATATCTTGTGCCCATTGTTTTCTTCTCTTAGTATTATTCCTGCACCAAGATAACGCCCAGGCAGAAGTCATGACCTCTAAAATATGGCCCATGCGCTGTTCTAGCCAAATTTATTTTCATTCTCTTTCAAGTGCCCTGCACTCTCCCTTGTCTGGTGTATTCTCTGTTTGGAGAACATTTTGTGTTTTCATATTTTTGTGCTGAGGTCCACACCCTTTCCCCAGTTTGAAAAGCTTATCTTTCTTGGTCCCCTGACACTCTATTTCCCTTCTCTGTTCAAATAGGACTTTTAAACCCAGTCATGAGAAATATTTAACCAGTGAAGCCCATCATGAGCCCCCAGGCAGAACTGAGGAATTGAACAGTGAAGTGGATTTTGAGAGATTAAGTATACTATCCGTGTGATGAGTTCTACAAGGTGAAATGAATTATGATTGCTAGAATTTGAATCCTGAATCTCTTGTTCACTAACTTCATGACCGTCTCCATGCCTCAATTTCATCTATAAAATGCCGATACAATAAAGGCAGCTACTGCAGATGGTTGTAAAAATTGAATGAGATCATCTTTGAAAAGCACTCAGCAGAGTGCCTGGTACATAGCAGGTTTTCACAAATCTAACTAATCTTGGGCCTTTTGTGTTATTTTCAGGATGCACTCTGTAATCTGCTCACCCTTAGATATCCTCTGAGAATTTAGAGAAACAAAGACTCTTCACCCACTAAGCATCTTCCTCCTCCTGCAATCCAGAAAGCCCCGGGGGGCCAGAGCACAGGGAAAAGCTAGCCTCTGGAGGAGTTACAAGTGTTTGGCTGTTGGTCAGAGGCCAAGGGAAGCCAGGGTGTCCAGGGAAAAAGCAGGATGATAGAGAATCTAAACGGAAAGAGGGCTCCCGGTGGGAGGTCTTTGAAAGTGTTAGGACTCCTCACAATGACTCTGTGTTGTTCATCCTTGATTTTATGCCACTCTTCTTGCTTCCCCTGAAGGATTCTGTATAAATCTCCCATAAGTGAAAGAAATGTAGACACATCAAAGGAAGTTGAATGGAGAAAACTCCAGGGATGTGGGTAACTGACCTTGGGGCTGCGTGTTGGGCTGATGAAGTCTGAAGGTCAGGGTCACCCTAGAAAGGAGGATATAAGCCCTCCATCCTACTATAAAGGGCTGGTCAAGTCTGGGGGGTACTTCTGATCCCAAGATCACCTTCTGGAAATGATCAGAGGATGGGGAGAGAGAGGGATCCGGGGACACATGACAACTTTGATTCAAAACTGAGAGAGAAAGGGGTAAGTTCAACCTTTGGATGATGGAGAGACAGATTTCAGAGACCAAAGAAATTATGCGGAAAGAAACCAAGCAGTAAGGATGATTGGGAGCATGCTTATTTGGTTGTAGAAGGGAGGCATAGGGTTATCATAAACAAAATCTCCATCAGATGACTTATGCATTACTGCCTTTACCTTTAAACAAGTCTAATTTGGATTGTGTATTTCCTATACTTTAAATAAGAATGAAAATCCTTACGTATTCTGTGGTTTATTTCTTGGAGTTAAGTGACTTGTCTAAGCTTTCCTTTAGTGATTGGCCCTCCAGGTCTTCACATGAATGTCTCTGCAGGGTTGAAGGCAGAGGCAGGTTCTTGGCTGGAAATGTCTTAAGAGAGCTCTTGGCCATAACTGTCTGAAGAACATCTCAATGAGCAGGAAGCAACTGTGTCTGTATCTTGATCTGGGTAGTGACCATGTGGGAGTGTTCATATACTCACTTTATAAAGCTTTATCAAAATGTACACCTGAGATTTGTGCACTTTACAGTGTGCATGTTATACTTTAATAAAAAAAGCCAAAAAATGAAGGAGTAGTTAGTAACGGTAAATGTTTTGGATAGGTCAGGTAAAATAGAAAATGAAATCACTGGATTGGGAACAGGCCATTGATGGACATCATTGTTCATGTTAGCAAGAAAATTTTTAGTAACAATAGATTGAAGAGTGAAATAAAAATTTTTAAAAAGACAACCGACCAAACCAAATGTCCTATCATTTGAAAAGGCTAATAAAGCATATAAACCTCTGCAGTGCTAATTAAGAAGAAAGAGAAATGAAGAAAATAAAACCCTCAAGGGAATGAAAGATTCAACCAGCTAGACACTGCAGGGTGGAGAGAGGAGGGATGGGCAGTGCACAAGCTGACAGTACCCTCAGAAGAAAAGTAGATTTATATAAGGCAGCAAGCCAGGAGAGGAAGATCCTGGATCAGAGGCAAGTGATGGGGGCAGAGAAGGAGGATTTCTGATTTCTCAGGCTGTTCTTCAGCTCTTTAAGCAGTGATACTCAACTCTGAGTTTGTGGCATCCAGAAAACACACAGAAGTATTGAGGGTAACCTGAATTATTTCTGATAACCTGATAACCCTTCTCTCCCATTCTACTTCAAACAGCTTTCCCTTGACTTCTCATGGTCTTTCACTTGATTCATCCAGTGACTATACATTGCAAGGTTCTTTTAATCTGACCATGAAGCAGAGTTTATTACTTTATTAGTCTGTTCCATTATAAGGCATTTCTTATCTTTAGGTTTTTGTTGTTGTTGTTGTTGCTGTTAGTGGTGGTTTGTCTGTTTCAATAAAGACCACAGTTTGCACTAATATCTCAGAAATTGGCTTGCAAAAGAATAAAGCTTCACTGTCATTTGGAATGTCTTGGTAGTTTATCATGAAGAGTTAACCATATTGGAGAATCATGAAAACCTATTGGGGGATTCATCTATAAAGGAACCCTAAATTTGTATATGTAGCTACTTAATCTATTAATTGAATCTAGCTCAACAGGGAATCAAGGCTTAATTATTATAAGGATTATAGATATTTCTAGACAGTTTATTATCTCCTATGAAAAATTATAATGTTGTTCTCTAATGACCGTATTTTTGTGGATCCATTAGTTGATCTCTTCAACCAGAGGGATGCTTCACTCATCTTTTCTCTAGCACTATACTGAGGATACAAAATAGGACATGTTCAATCTCAGGAAATTCATTGTTTCATTCAACAATTATTAACTATTAGGAACTGAACATACAGAGATAAAAGAAAAACTCTTTCCTCTGATTTCCCATTTATTCATTCAGTTGTTTGCTATAATGAGCACACATACCTTCTTTTAATGGACTTGTGAACCACAGCTATGGGTCACACACTTGGAATAAAGTAGAAAGCCATGAACAAGACACAAATAATATTTATGATTAAATACAATGAAGTCATCGAGTATTGGAATTGTCAATTTAGGTCCCTCATTGGTCAGCGTGGAAGATTCCATGAAAGCTCAGAGGATATGTAATTTAGCTTTGGCATTGGATGGGGGAGGAGTTAGAACAAACTTCCCTAAAGAGGTAACCCATAAGCCAATCTTTGAACAATGAATAGACATTAGTAAGGCAAAGAATACTGAGGCGGTCGGGAGGTGGAGCGGGATAACTTGGGCAGATATCGGTTTTCTGATCTTGTGGCCCATCTAGCTGAGAATACCATGAGGCTCTCCTAACACCACAGCTGGGAACAAGTCTTATAGGATTTTATCCTTTTCTTACATCATTTTATTCATTAACAGGAAAGCAGTCTTATCATCTGTGATGCCGGGGCCACCCTACAACCACACAATGGAAACCCCTGCCACCTTCTTCCTTGTGGGTATCCCAGGTTTGCAGCCTTCACATCGTTGGTTGGCTATTCCACTGAGTGCCATGTATGCCACAGCCCTGTTAGGAAACACCCTCATAGTGACAGTAATCTGGATGGATTCCACTCTACAAGAGCCCATGTACTGCTTCCTGTGTGTTCTGGCTGCTGTAGACATTGTTATGGCTTCCTCTGTAGTGCCCAAGATGATAAGCATCTTCTCCTCAGGAGACGGCTCTATCAGCTTTAATGCCTGTTTCACTCAGATGTATTTTGTCCATGCAGCCACAGCTATGGAGACAGGGCTGCTGCTGGCCATGGCTTTTGACCGCTATGTAGCTATCTGTAAGCCCCTTCACTACAAGAGAATTCTCACACCTCAAGTGATGCTGGGAATGAGCGTGACCATCACCATCAGAGCTGTCATATTCATGACTCCATTAAGTTGGATGGTGAGTCATCTACCTTTCTGTGGCTCCAATGTGGTTCTCCATTCATACTGTGAACACATAGCTGTGGCCAAGTTGGCATGCGCCGACCCCATGCCCAGTAGTCTCTATAGTCTGATTGGTTCTTCCATTATTGTGTGCTCTGATGTGGCCTTCATTGCTGCTTCTTATAACCTGATTCTTCAGGCAGTATTTGGTCTGTCTTCAAAGAATGCTCAGTTAAAAGCATTAAGCACATGTGGCTCCCATGTGGGGGTTATGGCTCTGTACTACCTCCCTGGGATGGCATCCATCTATGTGGCCTGGCTAGGGAAGGACACAGTGCCTTTGCACACCCAAGTGCTGTTAGCTGACTTGTACCTGGTCATCCCACCCACCTTAAACCCCATCATCTATGGCCTGAGGACCAAACAAATACGGGAGCGAATAGGTAGCTTGCTGATGCACTGCCTCTTTGACCACTCCAACCTGGGTTCATGAACACAAAGTCTATTCAGACCCTATTCAGATCATTCCAGCCAACTTCATAGATGCCTTAAGATCTGCGGAGCTGATTTGGTTGACCTGGCACAATAGGAGTTCTAAGATGAAGCTATAAAGGGTATCTTTGCATAACTTTCCAATTTCTAGCAAGGATGTGAATAAAATAATTATTTTCTGGCATTTTTAATGGTTTCAATCAATTAGAATCTGAATCAGAAATAAGCGGGCAGAGAATAAATATATGGGATTTTTCTTTCCTTACCTTCTGACCCATATTCCCAATTTAATATCCTACTGATCCCTCTGCAGAAGAAACCAACTGTTTGGTCCCCTCATACCTGGCTGACTTTCTCAGAATTGCTCATCTCCTTATGTGATTATATGGAAGCAACTGTTAATATATGACCCTGCCTTCTGGGCCACTGACAAATCCACTCAACTTGGGTGATGTGCTCACACCTGGACCAGAGTCCTTCTCCAGTCAAAACGGATTCCAGATTATCTGAGGAGATATAAATTTGGGATGGTGGCCATTTTCCAACACATAAACTTGGATGGAGAAACCTGTTGCACAGCAAGAGAAGCAGATTAGCAAGATGGGATGAAGAAACTGAGTCTATGGTTCTCTCATTCCAATTCATTTTGGACACACAGGTATACCCCTATTACTAAGTTCTGTAAGTTCTCTATGCCATTTTAATATATCGCCTACTGTTAAGCTAGTTGGCGTCAGTGTACTAATCACAGCTTTTTGTTTTTAAGCAATGGAAGCTAACAATTTGGGTTTGGACATCATTTGCTTTTCTTACTAGTCCTGTCTGTGTAACTTACGTGTAAGACACGAAAGAGAGGAACCACGTATAACACAGGTCTTTCTTCTTTTGGATCCTTTAAGGAGGTGGCTCGGGGGTGAAAAGGTTAACAGAGAACAATATCAATAATGAAGCTGAAATGTTTCTACTCTTCTCTAGGTCACCAGATATTTATTATTATTTTGTACTTTCCCCTTTCGGGAAGTCGTAAACTGAATCAGTATATGTTAAAAGAAGATTTCATATGTAAGAGATACATATATTTGACTCTGGTAAATCTGAAAATCTTAATAAAAGATAATTTCCTAACATGTTGATAACAAGATATTATACCTGAGTCTTAATATCTCCTTTGTATTTGTAGGATAAAAATGTTAATTCATAGAGGTTATTGAACATTAACTAAAATCAGGAAAGCACATAATACAACATCAACATATCATATGTACCAAAAAAATATACCCAACAGATTTCAAATTCTATTTTAAGAGGTAGTTGTAGGCACCATTGAAACTGCAGTCCTGTGAAAATCAGCACTTGTGTGGTAATTCTTCCAAACAGATCTGCTTCTTATTGCTTAGCATCCATAACTTTTGCTCATGTTGGACTTGTTTACCTACTAGAATGTATTGTTTCTGAATACCAGTGAAGTAGGAATCTGCTTCTATAAATCTGATAATAATGTACTGAGTTCCCAAAGAACAGTACAAAGAATTTCTCCTCTTGCAACCCCCTAACACAAAAACAAATCAAGATCATGAGGTGGTTAAGCATATTTGATAAGATTTCCATTTTAAAAAGTCACACTATTTTTTTCTCCATAAGGAACCCAAAGAATTGGCTATGCCCATTAAATAAAAAAGTACTAGGTGCATTAAAGAATCTGATGTAAAGCAACAAAGGTATAGTGCAGCTTGCATCCAAAATGGAAATTTCTTTCCAGCATTTCCATCAGAAGCCTGTCCTGCTTTGTGTTTCGTTCATATTAGTATTCTCTGAAACTACCTGGCACTCACTGTTAATAATTATTTATTGAACTACACACTTTCCAAAGTGGACTGGTTCCCTTCCATGGTTATCCCCAAACAGAAAATCCTGTTTCTCCTGGTACAGTCACATACACCCCTGCCCTGTCTCATGAAGCAATGTTAAATGCTAATTTAACTACTGCCTGTGACTCATAGTAGATGCTCAACGTTTGGATTTTAAGAGATTACAACCAGTCCTGCTTTAAAAAAAAAAAAGGGGAAATTGGATTTCCTGTGGATTGTGAACTGAAGGATTTACCTTGTGTCTCTTCCTTTTGTAGGACTCAAGCATTTTACCTTTAGTAACCTTTTCCCTCAAGGCTCAGGCATTGCACCCCCTGGTTTCCGTTAGGAAAACAAGGATGGGCAGAGCTCATTCCTGCCTCCTACCTTGTAGTGACTGATCGCGTTAAGTTGGAGGTGTTATCGTAGTCATTTCAGGGGATGTGAAATGACTACCCTCCACACGGCTACCTGTCTCTTCCCCTTCTGGACCACTTTTGTAATTATCCATCAAATTAATTGCGAACAGGATTATAATTAAATATCATCTATTCTTTCATGCCTTTATGAGGCAAGAAGAGTTTATTTTTGTTTTGATTCACACGCACGCACACGCGCACACACACACACTAGACTTGGGGTACAATGGTGAACTAGACAAATAAGGTTCTTGTCTTCATGGGATTCTTAGAAGAGACGTGTAAACAACTACCCTAGAGAAACGGGTTTTCATATACTTAAGAACTTCAATCTTCTTATCTGGTCTTAAAAATCAAGATATATGAAATAAACAATGTGGCATCATTTAACCTTATAATTCTTGTAACAAATAAGCACCCAAATCAGCTTATAAATGTAATAAACACTCCCAAACACCCAAATAGTACATTACAAATGAAGCCATTCCACTCTTTAATTCATTCTAGGTTTGAATGAATTCATCACCTAATAATCCTCTTTTCTTGGAACCTTTCAAGTTTTGTCCTAAAAATCCATAGTAAAAGAACAATACTGGTTTGGTCCCTACCTTCTTCTGCTAAGTGTGGACATACAACTGGAAGCGCTTCCTAAAGATCTATTTCTCAAGTCTATAAACAATTCCCCAGGCATTCTACCCTCCACACAGCTACCTGCCTACTTGCCTCTTCCCATTCCGGACCACTTGTGAATTCTCCCCCCAACTTCCTCCCCTCTGCCACACACACACACACACACACACACACACACACACACACACACACGGCCTCTCTAATGTAGGTCAGCTCAACCCTTTGCCAAGACCAGGTCTGTGACTTCCTAGTTCATTCTCCTTCTACTGCTAATGCTCAAGGAGCCACTTGGAAGCCTGTTGGGCAGAATGAGTTTATTTCTCCATTTTGGCCCATTTTACCTGCTTCATATGTGAACAGCGAATACAATTAAAGTCAAGACAATTTTTGCCATTCTTTATTACAGTAATTACTTTGCTTCAGCCTGTACATAACCTCGTATCTACTTTGCTGGCCAATCCTACCCCAAAGGTCACTACCTTCACGTGAAAACTGTATCAGAGGTTGTGTCAGTCATGGTGACAATATGTGATGTACACATTATAGCCATCACAATAAGCAAAGCTATTAATTGTCATATGCTTGCCTTGCAGTTTGTTTCCAGCCATAGTCATTCCCACATCACACTCTGAAGACCTGCAGCAAATTATTTTTGCCACACACAACACTCTAAGGTCAACAGCACAGATATATAGTCTTATTCTCCTTCATTACAATATATGGTTCCCAAACTGGCTTTTTTTGTGCCTAGTCATATTCTTTCTTCCCACACTTCCTTCCCCCATTTCTCCTGTCATAGATTTAGAGAAGACAAAGGCAGGGAGAATGTTATGTAGTTTCCAGAACTGTGAAGATTCCTTTGGTGACAGAGAGATCCAAACGCTAGCCCAACTAGTTTTTTTTTTTTCTCCCCCTCATCTCCATTTTCTACCCTTTGGTCACAGTCCCCATTCTAATCCAAAGAAGACAAATATGCAGAATTGATGCACAGTATGTTACTGTGGTCCAGAGTTTGCCCCAAGCAAGGACACTTTCTGTCTAAAGGTCTAGACTGCCAGGAGAGGCCTTGAGACACAAAGGCCCTACTGTAAAGAGGCTGGATGAAAAGGTGATGAGGAGGGTTACACAGGCATAAACTGTGGCTTCTCTTCCTCTGTCCCTGAGAAAGGAACAAAAGTATGGGATGGATCTGAGATCCTCACAACAACTCTGTGAGGTAGGAGAATATGCAGCTACTCCACCCATTTTCCCACAAAGGGCACAAAATCTTTTAAATGTGTGGGATGTTTCAGACCCAAATGTAATGAATGACATGCAGACATGTGACCTAAGTAGCGCAAGTCTGTCAATCTCATTTCATTTGAATGTCAGAAGTGCTTTATCATCTTGACAGTCTTCTTTTGACAGCTTTGTGAGAAATAACTTGCTGCATTAAGGCCATTTCAGTTTCCTCATCTATAAAGTGAAAATAAAACCAAGGCTCACAGGTTTTCTGACCCTGCCGCTCAGAGAGAAGGGCAGGACCAGGACACAGTCTCCTTAGAGTTGAGACAGAGTGATGTGCCCAGCTCATGCTCAGAGGGGATGACCACTGTGGTGGACTGGGCAACCTGCAATGCAATTCTCTGGTTTGGAGGTCGGAGAGCTGGGGTCAAACATGGGTTGCTCAGTCACAGCAAACCTCAGCTGAGGCCTCCTCAGACTGGTCTCAGCACAGCGGCCAGCTCTGGATACGGGCAGTACTCTTCCGGCTTGTTGACAAACCCTATCCAGTGGGTTTCTCGAAGGTTGGATCTACGTCATCGTCCTTGCTGACTTAATCATGGCACTAACAGGGACTGGAGAAGAGGAGACTGAGCTACAGAAAGGCCAAGTCCTGACCCTGAGAGCCATTCTGACCTGCACCATCAGCGCGGTCATGCTCCCCTCTCAGGGCACAAGGCTCACGGATGAAGCCTCAACTCTCTCACATGACAGCTTTCGTGAGAGACTGGTCCAGGGGTAGTAGACCACTGGGACAGGCAGAGGAATCCCCGGATTCTGGGCTCAGCTCAGTTCAAGAGGACCCTTGTCAGGGGCAGAGCCGTCCATGTCCCCTGTGGCCCAGGCAAAATTCTGGGGCCTCTGGATGAGATGATGGCTCTTTTAGTCCTCCGCATCCAGAGAGCAGATGGCCAGAGGGGCGGTGTTGTTGGCACCAATGCTGTAGCAAGGACTAAAATAGGGCAGGAGGCGCCCAGGGAAGGGATAGTGGGGGAAAGTGAAAATGTGGGAGCCATTATCAGTCACATTGTAGAAGGAGATATCATGGGCCTCATAATCCAGGAAGACGCCTACCCGGCGGGGAGGGACCAGCAAGGACAGGAGGGGGTATTCATCGGTGCCTGCCCGGTATTCATTTCCCTTCCTCAGCCTTATCACCCAGAATCCATAGTGGGGGGATAAATAGACCACCTCCTTCCGGTCCACATTTTCTTTACACACTCCCAGGCCCCATTCAGACCTGTCTCCCACCTCCACCTCCCAGTAGTGCCGGCCTGAGGAGATGCACTGGCTGCCCAGGACGATATTATAGCGGTAGAATCTCTCAGGATTGTCAGGCAGTTTCTGCTTGGTATCTCCATAGTGCACGCATTTTCTGTCCTCCGACACGATGAGGCGGGAATAAGCAGTGTCTGGATCCAGGCGCACGTCAGCTAGGTAACAAGATGCTGGTTGGCAATGCTGCTACCGAGTCAGGGGGCACGGGCGAGGTCTCTGATAAATTCAGCCTCAGATTACTCAACGACAGGTGGGAGAGCGGCTAGCTGGGGCATCCAGAGTGCACTGAACCATTTTATTTCTCCTGGAGGGGTTCCTCCCACGGTCCATCACAACCTCCCCCAGCACTCATTACCTGCATATGTCCTCAGGATTTCTCTTAGGCCCAGCACCCGGCAATCTGTCTTCAGCTCCAGGGAGACTGGTTCTGGCCGCTGCAGGGTCCAAGACTTGCTCCTAATGGAGGAGGGGTAAGACTTGGGGTCAGAAGTCCTGGCTCTGCCGCACAGGCCTTCCCTCAGGACAGGGAAGAGGGGCTTGGCCAGGGACATAGGCAGGGAGGTGCCCCTCCCCAGCATTACCAGGCAAAGCAGAGATATGATGGTTTGACTGAAGTGAACATTTCATGTTTTGATGCTGCGGGAAGGGTCAGATGTACACCTGACAGCGGGCGGGAAGAGGTGTGCCTCAGGGGAGAAAGGCTACCCTCAGAGCTTTCAGCACTCATGGAGGAGACATCTGGTGTCTTGTTCCCTCCTTGGGAGAGCTACTTGAAACCACGTATTTTATAACTTGACTGAAATTCTTATTGGTCCTACTTGAAATGAATCTGACCAAGTTTATATAAAGAAGAAAAAAGGAGGGTGAACACAGCTTCTTTGGCCGATGTACTGAAAGAGGAGAAAACGACGGAGCAGCGCCCGCTTCCCCGTGGTGCTGGGCCTCTTCCTCACCCACTTGTGGCCAGGCCCCACCATCCCTCACAGGGCTGCGTAGGGACGCCAAGGACGGGGACATACCTGTTTAAGACTTCCTGAATACCCTAGAAGGAGAAAAAAATGCAGCACATGAGTATGTGCTGTGCCTCAAAGGGACCAGACAGACACGGAGCTCTGGAGGAGGGTTTCTCTAAGGGCAAGGGAGGCGGAGAGCAAGCCTGGAGAGAAGGTGTATAGAGGTGGAGGCAAAACACTTACAGGAGGGGAGCAGGGCAGGCTGAGCTCTGGCTGGACTAAGCGACTCCAGGCTCCATCTCGACTCTGGCCAGAGGCGAGAGACTAGTATAATGCCACAGCTGCCTGAGTGCTGCCCCACCTACCAAGCTACCAGGGGCCAGGTCATCCACCCAACCAGGGGCAGGAGGACAGCAGGCATTAGCGAGGGTGGAGGAGAGGGCAATACAGGCAGAGTGCTGACAGGCCCACTGAAGGGCTTCTCTCCTGGAGTCCCAAGCTCTCTTCGGCTGTCACTCAGAGTTCCCAGGAGAACCTGCTACTCACCTGCAGCATCCAGCGGACAGGCCTCTGAGACCTCTCCTCCAGCTCTGCAAACAGCCTCCACAGGACCCGGCTCTGCTGGCCGAGGGTGTCGTGATTCAGCTCCAGCTTCTGCCTGGTCTCTCCCTCCTCCTGCTCTAGGCTGGCCAGGGCTGCAGCTGCCTCTACTTCCAGCCGCCGGCCTGGCGGCTTTTTCTTTAGTAATCGCCGATACTTCTCAAACTCCCACATGATACTTTGCTTTCGGGTTTCCACCTGCATCTGCAGAGCCAAGATAGGAAGTCAGCACTGATGTTGTTTGTACGAGGGCCACCCAGGATATCCTTTATCCAAGAAAAAGGATACTGGTTTGCCTACCTCCCTATTCCCACAGCTCCGGTACACGCTTCTGGGTCNCACAGGACCCGGCTCTGCTGGCCGAGGGTGTCGTGATTCAGCTCCAGCTTCTGCCTGGTCTCTCCCTCCTCCTGCTCTAGGCTGGCCAGGGCTGCGGCTGCCTCTACCTCCAGTCGCCGGCCTGGTGGCTTTTTCTTTAGTAATCGCCGATACTTCTCAAACTCCCACATGATACTCTGCTTTCGGGTTTCCACCTGCATCTGCAGAGCCAAGACAGGAAGTCAGCACTGATGTTGTTTGTACGAGGGCCACCCAGGATATCCTTTATCCAAGATAGAGGATACTGGTTTGCCTACCTCCCTATTCCCACAGCTCCGGTACACGCTTCTGGGTCCCCATCTCTACTCTTACTGACCCCAGTAGGGCCCAGGATATTATCTTGGTACTATATGCTCTAGATTATTTCCTATTTTCAGAATAATATATTCTATTTTCAGAATAATGATCAGTGCATTACACTTAAGCCTTTAAGACATTGTAACAACTACACTGTTAGATGCTTTTGCTTCTTACTGGTATTATATCAATTCAATATGCTGTTTTTGGCCAGCTCAATGTTAGCTTCTGTTGATCAAAAGTTCTGATAGTTTGGTAGTTATGGGCCGTGAATTTATTTGAGAGGTGATTTTCCAGTATTTTAAAAACTTAACTTTTAGTAAATATGCTCTAATTGGGGAAAGTGAAACACAAAATACGTTTTACTAAACATTACACAAGTCATACCACTGTGAGCTAACACCTACGTGAGGCATGTAGTTTTCCTTTCTCATGTATGAAGACATAAGCCCAGAGGTTATTCCTACATCACGATCAAGAAACTGGAATGAGAGGCTACATGGCCCGCAAAGGCCACACACCTGCTAGAGAATGGTGGCATGAGGCCCCCAGGCTCTCTGACTTCGAACTTCACATTCGGCCTCACAGAGATGAGGAAGCTGCCATGGGGCAGCTCCAGGACAACATAGGGACCACCCAAACGTCTTTCCCAGGTGGCAACCTGCCTTCCAGTTGGCAGTTCGTTTCCTCTCACCAACTTCCAGCTTCCAGGCCTCTTCTTGCTCTTTCCTCAGATGTTCCAGAGCTTCGTGCAGTTTCCACTGAAAAGAGAGAAAACCCTCATGAGGCCATCCTGGGCAGCCAGACTGATAACAAGGTTCCCTAGCACTGGTAGGTGATGGGAAAACAAGTGTCCCTTAGGCGACGTGCCAGAATGAATGCTGCAAGTAAAGGGATGCCACAGGGGAAGTGGATTCCTGCCCAGATGACATCCACGGTAGCTCTTGATCTGAGAATTGTTTCAGCTCCCATAGTCTCTAAGTTACTGTAAAGTAGAAGCAAAGAGCCCTTCCAGCTTGCCAGAAAACCACCTTGGACTTCCTATCCATGCCTCCTTTTATCCTCATCTGACTTGTTATGCTATGGCCTCCTGAAACCTTCTTATTCAAAGTGTGGCCCAAGTGGGTCAGCAGCATCAGCACCACCTGGGAGCCTGTTAGACATGCAGTCTCGGGCCCCACCCAAGACCTCCTGAATTAGAATCTGAATTTTAACAAGATCCTTGGGGGTTCAATTGCCCATGAAAAGTAAGAAGCACTATCCTATAATGCAAGAGATTACTTCTGAAAAGCACAAAGTATTGTGATAATATTAACCATTTTGTTATAGATTTACCAAGAGCCAAATATGGCTTAAGCACTAAACATACATTCAATAGTCACAGTCCCTTGAAACTGGTGTTATCCCCATTTTATAGATGAAAAAACCGAGGTTTAGAGAGTAACCTACTCAAAGTCATTCAGCTAGTAAATGGTTGGGCTGGGATTTATCCCAGCTCTTTAACTCCTATGCCTATGTGATACTGCCTCCCTATTCTAATATTCTCAAAACAAAATGAATAAGTAAATACTTTACATTTTTAAGAAATTCTTCTCATACAGAAAAACAGTTAGTTCTGGGGATATGTCTTATGCTCTTACCTGCTAATCTCAACTTCAAGAAAGAGAATTAAGACCAGTACTGGATCACTGAATCATTGGGCTAATGATTCTGGTAAAGATATGTCAGCACGGACAACTGAGGAAAGTATAAGAAGCTGGAAGTTGATGATAGTAGCTATAAAAAAGGAGTAGCAGATATGTCAGAGATGACT